GGATATATTCAACATATATATGTCTACTATATGTCTGCAAATTTTCGTAATTTTTTTCCATGTATTTTAATTATGGTGAATTTACTAGTAACCCATGCTCGTATAGGCAGTTTTACTGGCCAATTGTGTTGGTCTTTTTGAAGGATGACTTTAGACTACTATTTTGATCCAAAACGGCTCTATATTTTTATTTTATGAAGATTAGTATGTCTATTTTGATAAGTATAAATTTGGTAGAAATCAAGCTTGTAAATTAATTATGATAAATTCTAAAGTAAGTGTAACTCATTGCTGAAATTTTGTTTGACAACTTTATGTTGGTTGAGATGTCTATTTTATTATGTCTAAAATATATAGCAATTTTCTTCAGGTACATCTCTGAAAGAATATATTAATGAGTGTTTGCCCAAGTGGGAGAATTAGTGAACAAAAATTGGGCTTCACACTCATTAACTTATTTGCAAGTATAAACTCTGAAAACTTAGTGGGAGTTTTTGAGCATTAAGCGGATTTGCATAAATTTATTAAAGCGTTATTCTATCTTCCATGAATTTTTGTTACTCGAATAATAATAATATGTTTAAGTTGTATGAATGGCTACTTAGTATATGCGTACATTTTTCTGTTACTTGCAATCATTTGGATTTCTTGGTTGATCATTGTTTTGAGGCTCATAAGGACTTAGCATAAATGTGGACTTATTAATACATAGAAGATGGTTGTTGGATGCATGTTTTTGTGTAACAGTGATGAATGCTTTCGTGCTTAATTGTACCTTTCATTGAGGTAATATGCATTCATTGACTAAGTAAGGCTATTCCCAAAGGCATATTTTCAAAAATATGACTAAAGTATTGATTTGCAAATTAAGTGATGATGTTGCATATCAGTAGGGGTTTGAGTTTCGTGTTAGTAATGCCTTACATTTGCAGATGACCTATAAGGTATGTATAGAATCCATGTATTCTTTTTAATCTCCAGTTGGATTCATTAAGTCACTTTTTTCGTGTGCTAGTCAATTATCTGATGAAATATATATCAGATATCAAGTTGTTATCAAATTGCATATTAAATGGCATGACATGGTTTATGCACTACCTCAGTTGTGAGGATTTCCATCTTGCCCGTAGGTGTTGGAAATCACTATGAAAGTAACTGGTATGATGCATAGATCAGTGTCAAAAACATATTAATTCATCTTGCTCACAAGTGTTGAATTAATTTGTTTTATAAAGTTTTTGGGATATTTTACCTGGACATGTGCCTATTTGGTATTTTCAGTTGTGTCCGTTGGCCACAAACATTGTTTGTATTATTACTGATCTAATGAAAGTTATGCATGATTGTTTTGGAGATGTTTCACCACCAGGTTATGTTGGCTTCATTAGATGAAGGATATTTGCATTGGCAGATTTTAAGAAGAAGAGCACATAAAGTGTAATTGGTGTGTTAAGAGTTCACAACAAGGTAGACCTGAGATGATTAATAAAGTAAGACATTTTGGTTAATTTAAAAGTTTCATCTCTTGATCATAATTTGTGTTTCAATGTGAATGAGGATCTTAGCCATTGTGATTATGAAGGTTCTGGGCTGTGTCAACCTACAACCTTGTTAGTTCCATGTTTGTTAAGAAATGCATTTGACAGAAATTGCATTAATCACTTAGATGTAAATGTGTTACATTGTAACTAATATGTGACATGACTTTGCGAGCATCTGTATTTATGAAAGTTGATCCTTTTTTGTAGACCCAAAATAAAACCTTTAAGTTCTCCATTTAGAATGTACCATAGAGAAAAAATGAATTAATTGTGATCTCTAAACTACATATCAATAATAAGGTAATAATATTAGGGAATAATGAATTTATTTCCTTAATAAGTGATATCAGACTAATATAAAGTATTTGTTTGGTAAATTGGAAATGATTTGATGGATAACCAAGATATTAATAATTTAGTGTTACTATTTAGGAAATAATATTGAAGAATAAGTTAATGTGGTTTCTTTTAAAGATATCAAATGTAGCTATATTAAATTATAGATAAAATCCTTAATTGAATTCTTTGATAGCTATAGGCATATAAAATGATGGTGCGTTCAGAGTTTGTTTATTCTGTATGAGCTTTACCTAAGCCAAATCTAAAAGGGAAAGAATTAGAACCTACATGTTTACATTGTTTCTTGTTTAACTTCCATAGCCGTTGTTATAATCAGGTCCACTCATTTGATTTGTGTTTTACATATATCCCATACTAACGCTGTTCTGGAACACCATGTGATTGAATCAAGAAATGAAACTAAATCTTATGGAAAAAAAAGCCATAAATTGAATTCCTTAGTGTTATCCATTCGATCTGAAGCCACCCATTGTTTATAACAAATTCTTTATTAGAAATAATGCCATACTGTTTATAAAATTTCTTTTTGAAAACTCGACATGGATAACAAACAGATAGTCAAATCCAGTGACATCATAATTCTGCATAGGAATTCCACACACAAGTCAGCATCAAAATCACAATTGTAAGTGTCATATTCATCAGAACAAAGTCAAAATGATAGAATGAGCAAATTATTTTTTTTATTTATTTTCTAAAAAAAAGCATTATTCTATTTAAGATAAGTGATGAGAATATAACATGCAAGTGAATTATCATCAAGTAAATAGCATTGCTCTGAAATTCTTGCGTACGGTGTTTTTTTTTCTAGAACTGTAACGCAATTTGGAGAATTATTGAGCATTAAAAACACGCTGATTTGTTGTTAATTGCAAAGATTTGTTTATTCCAACATCATTAGACAATAACCATAGGTCATACAAAATAGGCCGTCTCGTATAACAATAATTGTAACATTTAAGTTCCTGAAGAATGATCAGATATGCTCCATCATGTTCTGTCTTGAATAATCATTTTGCATTGGTTGATCAATGTATTGGGAGGATTAAAACATTAAAATGTAAATGACATCGTAGTAAGTTGGCAACATTGATATGTCAGTAGATTATTTTGTTGATATGTATTATTGAAATCGTAATAAATTAATCTAATATCTTACTTTGTTCCTAAAAATAATAAAATTTTATCATTGACAAAGTATGCATTAATCATCTTTATATTTAGGCAATCAAAAAGTGAGTTGTATTTAATTTAATTCTCAAACCTTCCTCAGATGTGAATATATCCTGTAATAATCAATGTAATGTTTTTTCGTGGCGTAAAACGATTCTGTGTCCTCAATAGAATAATGATTAGAAATTCAGATTCAACATACTATGAAACCAATCTCCCATAATAAATTAATGGTGAAGTCAATATTTGATTTGAAATGGCTTTTCCTCATGTGAACATGTATTTTTATGAAATCTTTTTGACAGCGCGCAAGGTTAACATCACAATGACAAGAACCGCGATAACCGTGCCAATAAGCCACTTGTTCCTGAACATACTCCTTCCCATGGAAGTCAGAACTCTCTTGCTTTTCCCTGTGTTGTCATCCACTCCATGAAGCTGCAGCAAAAGGAAAAAAACAGTTAGATAAATGAAATGCCATTCTAGCAAGATCATCGCCCTCGCCAAAGCAGTTATATCAATAACTTTCTCTTTTTGAAAAACTTGTTTTCGGTACAGGACCATGGATACACATAGGCACATGCCGCACATCACTCTCCTGAGAGACTAACACTAATAATAGTGAAAAGAAGATTGAGTAAATCATGTTCATAAGGTGATAATCTCCAGAGTCCAGATGCACATCAGCATATTGTTGGTCGGTCCTAATTTTATTGGAAGAAATCGTAGAAATGTAGTAGTAAAAATATAATGAGAGTAGTATTATTCTTATTTTATTTTATACATATAAGAGCGTTAAATTTATAATAATATCTTACTTCTAAAAATATAATGAGAGTAGTATTATTCTTATTTTAGTAATCAAGCAAAGTGAGTGGCGTATTTAATTTATATTCTCACCTTCCTCATAAGTGAAATAGAAATGCTCTGAAATTCTTCGCGTACGGTGTTTGTTTTCTCGTATAGAACGGATTGTTAGAAATACATTAATGACATGTCAATACGTTTTGTTGGCAACATTGATATGACAAAGCATTATTCATTATAAAAACAGGCGCTTGCGTAGGGTGCTTGTTTCCTGGTATAGAACAAATTGTCAGAAATGCATCAATAACATGTCAATACACTTTGTTGGCAACAATGATACGACAAAGCATTATTCATTACAAAAACGGGCGTTTGCGTAAGGTGCTTGTTTTCTCGTATAGAACGGATTGTCACAAATGCATCAATAACATGTCAGCGCTTTGTTGGCAACAATGATATGACAAATTTTTATTCATTACAAAAACGGGCGTTTGTGTAGGGTGCTTGTTTTCTCGTATAGAACGGATTGTCACAAATGCATCAATAACATGTCAATACCCTTTGTTATCCACAATGATATGACAAAGCATTATTCCTTAGAAAAACAGGCGTCTGCCCCATCTCACAGATTAGGGTTCTAGAATGCCAGCAAAACAAAAGCGTGCTTAAAACCATGTTTGCGTATGGCTTTGGTTTCCACCCATGTATCCCGGGTTTGAAACTCCCTTGTCCCCCAAATTGTTGTTGTAGTTTTGAACCCTCTCCCTCCCCTTAATAATAATAATTTAAAAGAGAAAATTAATATTTGAATGAAATCTTGCTGTGATACTCTCTTGACTCTTTAGACTTTTCGGTTTCCCTATGTCTTTCTTGTACAAGTTAGAGTTCCATACTTTCTAATGAAACGTTTTATAACTTATCTGATTGAAACTTGATTGTGTTACGATTGATGATTTTTTTTTCTTTTACTTCAAGAGGTCGCACTTGGTGCGATGGCAAGTGCCTTCGCCCATAAGCGGTAGGTCTCGGGTTCGAGACTTGGGAGCAGCCTCTCCATAAATGGGGGTAAGGTTAGCCGACATTCACCTCTCCCAGACCCTGCGTAAAGCGGGAGCCTTGTGCACTGGGTACGACCTTTTTACTTCAAAAACCAACCCTGTTTTCTTGAATTGTTGCAGATGTGTAATCACTGGAAATGGTGGGACTTCATATGCATATCTGGGACGACCGTGGGGACCTTTTGGAAGAGTCGTTTTTGCATATACATTTATGGATGGATGCATCAGACATGTAGGATGGAATAATTGGGGTAAAACAGAGAATGAACGAAGTGCTTGCTTTTATGAATACAGGTATGCATACTTTAGTCCATCTGCATAGTACTTCTATTCTACAGCGACTGCGTTCGGTGGAACGTTGTCTTATCAAACCAAACTATGGACATGGACTACAATAACTTCGGAGAAACGTGGTGTCTTATCAAACCAAACTAGTTTGTTTTTAGATGGTTCATGTGGGGTACCTAAAAGTAAAATTAAACAGAGCTGAGAACGGAAAGATGTTTACTTTAATTGGGTTCACCATGCCTTTTTTTTTCGGAAGAATATTCCCTCTCAAGCTTGTGGCTTTGTTTACCTGCTCTTGCGCGTAACAACTTCTTGAAGTAGTGATTGTTGTTTTGAAATTTAAAGTTTCTTTCGAGTTCGTGAGTAGAGGCAGAGTTTGACAAGCTTGCATCGTTGAATGAAAATTGCAGGTGTTTTGGACCGGGCAGTTGCCCATCGAAACGGGTGACATGGGCTAGAGAACTGGTAGACGAGGAAGCAGACCAGTTCCTCCAGCATCGTTTCATCGACCCAGATCCAGGAAGGCCTTGGCTTGCCCAGAGAATGGCCCTAAGAATACCATATTCTGCCTAGGAGTGAAAACATGGGAAAGATTCCTCATAAAGTTAGTCGAGTATACTGAAATCATTTTACGACGAAAGAATAAGATATGCACTATATTTCAAGATGCCCGAGGCGTTACAAGGCCATTTTTAGCGTTTGAGCTTCGTAACCCGGCCGATGTAATTGCTTGTTTCAAAGACTTTATGTTTTGATTTGGCTAGATTTATCCAGGATAATATAGATAGGGATGGGCAAATACCCATGGGTTATGGGTAATCGTTTACATAAATAAACGGTTATGGGTATAACCGTTTACCCGTGAAATTTAAATAAGCGGTTATGAGTATTAGCCACGGTTATAAACGAGTACCCATTTAACCATTTATTTTAATATATGTAAAACAAAAAAAAAATTAGTTTCTAGCTAAGTTTAGTATCCCGAGACATATATATATATAGATGCGCCTCACGTGAGAGAAAAATATAGTTGATAGAACAGACCAATGTTTAATATATGTGATTGAATGTCCTAAAGCATTAGAGTGTTTGACAATTTTGTTTTGGAGTCTTTTGGAGCTTTGGCCAATTCAAGATAATGATTACCTTGAACTTTTAGAAACATGTTATTGTCGGCTCATGCATACCTATATATATATATATATGTGTGTGTGTGTGTGTGTGTGTGTGTGTATGTATGTATGTATGTATGTATATTTAATTGGCCTCGAGTTTTCAATAAATATTTGACCCAAAAATTAGAAATCAATTAAATGGCTTGGATCGATGAACATATGTTTCTAGATAAAAATCCAAATGTTTAACAAATTAGCTTATTAGCAGACTGATGCATACTTACATACATACATATATATATGTATGTATACAAGAATATTAATTAATCTACAATCATGCACGATTCTTGTAATACAGTAATAGATTGACCGCCAAATAATTGGGAGACATCGCATATATTCATAAATAATATTGCCATTAATACAAAAATTCATATTAAATGTATTTATAACGGTATTTAATTGTTAGAAAAAGAAAATTATGACAAATTTCTTTTTAATTTTCAAGTTGTTTAAAAAATAGGTAGACGAGTGAAAAAAAGAGAGTAAATGGGTTTAAAATGGGTAAACGGGTACGCGGTTATGGTTAAATGAGTACGCGGTTATGGGTAAATGGGTATGCGGTTATGTGTAAATGGGTATGCGGTTATGTGTATGGTTATCCATTTATAAACGGTTATGGGTATGGGTATACCCGTTTATGTAAATACCCAACGGGTTAAAGGTTATGCGGGTAAAAGCTTAAATGGTTATGGGTAAATAATCGCGGTTACCTGCCCACCATAACCGTTACCCATCCCTAAATATAGATAAACGTGTTCCATTCTTTGATTTCACTTTCATCCTTGGCCTTCAACATGGATAGTTTATGTTATTACAGTAATGAATAACTTTTTTAGAGTGTCAATTAGATTTTTTTTTTTATCTTAAACGAGTCGTCTGTCACAAAAAACACATTCATGGATACATGTTATGGCTAGGAAGAGGATCTTTTCTGGATCCATTTTGTAGGGATCTCCACTTCTTAATTGTTTATCGTATATCATGCGGTTAGTTTTCGTCAGATATTATTTGTGTTTACTTGTAAATGAAAAAAAAGTCAAATGATTTCTGACAGCACGATACATGATGAATGATTAAAATGTGAAATTTTTTAAGATTCCCACAAAGTGAATCCGGATGAGATCTAATTCCGGACATGGAAATCTTGTCCTAGGCCTCACTAGTCACCTTCACCAATCACACCATCACATACATCCAATTGGAAAAAAAATGTTAAATCTTTGAGCTTGATACCGTAAACACCATCATCAACTTCCATCAAATGCCAACGAGATTCTCTTTGGATTTTTTTTGATGAGGATCTTAGAGATCCGTAAATTGTGTCCGTTCATCGTACATCGTGTGATTAGTTTTTATCAAGTATTGTTTGTGTTTAATTTTAAATAAAAATATTTAAAATGATTTATGATCTCATCACGATGTATAATGAACAGACACGATTCATTGATCTTCAGGATCCTCACAAAGAGGATCCGGATTTCATCAAATGCACTTCCCCAGTTTGTACTTGGCTCCCAGCCCACATGAACGACTCGAGACTTGAATCAATATTCCTTGCTTCATGTAAAAAAAATTTGTCATCGAAAATATTTCATCCCTAATTGCTTTTCAATTTAGTAACCAAGCAAAGTGAGTGGCGTATTTTATATTCTCACCTTCCTCATTAGTGAAATGGAAATGCTTGGAAACCCTTTGTGTACAGTGCTTGTTTTCTCATATAGAACAAATTGTCAGAAATGCATCAATGACATATCAATACGCTTTGTTGGCAACAATGATATGACAAAGAATTATTCATTATAAAAACGGGCGTTTGCGTGGGGCGCTTGTTTTCTCGTACAGAATGAATTGTCAGAAATGCATCAATAACATGTCAGTACGCTTTGTTGGCAACAATGATATTGACAAAGCATTATTTTAGCGTTTGAGCTTCGTACCCCGCCCGATGTAATTACTTGTTTCAAAGACTTGATGTTTTGATTTGGCTAGATTTATCCAGGATAATATAGATAAACGTGTTCCATTCATTGGTTTCACTTTCATCCTTGGCCTTCAACATGGATAGTTTTTGTTATTACTTTTCTTATGATGATTAAAATTCTTTTGTCCGTTCGATGTAAATCCAACTGTAACACGATACTCAACATATATTTTACAAAACTGTTATAGGGTGCGTTTGTTGTACCCGATTATTTCGGACTAGATTAGCTTTAGGGACTAAGCCGGACTAGCTTGACTTGGACTAAGCAAGATAAAAACAGTGAAGTATTTGGTGCAATACTGGATTAAATCACTGTTGGCCCTAGAAACTACCAAGCCTACGTGGCACGCAGGCCGAGTAATCTATAAGCTAACTACGTCCTTTGGTGAATGTGGGGCGTGCCAACTCGTCGGCCGAGGAGTAAATTTTGTTGATGTTGCGTTGGGTGCGCAGCTGACTTCTGCGTCTTGCGATTGCGGCCGAGAAAGGAACACGTCTCGGCCTCTTGGGCTCTCGAACCTGAAGACAAGGTTACTATTCTTACGAAGTTCAATATCAAATTCGGCTCTCAATGTGCCGAATGTAATAACTGTAACACCTCACTTTGCCGAGAAGGCTGATGAGATGACCTCGACCAAAAAGGATTCAGAAATCCTTCTCGACCGAGACTTGGATAGGTAATCAACCGTCATCGCCGCAGTGCTGTTGATGCCAACGGAAGATGCTGCGAGACCGTCTGATTCTATGGTGACAGAGCTATCTATGCCGACTTAAGATATCACCGGTTGCTTTCACAGTGCTGTTGATGCCAACGGAAGATGTGTCAGCGAAAAAGAAAAAAAAAATCTCAAGTTGTTGAGTTTGCGCAGGGCAGTTTTGTATTGATTTGCAGGTCCCTTTTCCGTTGCCACTGCATCTGTATTTATAGTTCACCAGTAACCCTAAGATTGTCGTCGCAAAAAATAATAGGAATATTCTCCTTCAAATATGCAGGATCCTGCCTGGCGTCGCCTTGATGATTTCGTAGAAACCAACTAGAACTCAAACTGATCAGTTGCATAAGCTTAAAGCCTATCTTTTTAGATGTCATTAATACTCCTTATTTTATGCTAATAATTAGCATGCAACAGCCTATCTGATGACCTTCACGGTGCTGGAATCAAGGCATGCAAGTTTATCCCTCAACCATGTATTTCAACAGGTCTCCGCAATAAAGGGGCACTTGACTCTTGATCTTTCCACAAAGCTGTCCAGGTGCAATCATGCACTCCACATGTATGCATGTTGACCACCAACTCAATATAGTCACCATATTCCAAGAAAAATCACGCCACACCCCCCATCCATAAATTCCAAGTCAAATTGACTTGTACCACCCACTCTTGTATCAGAAATAGAACTCAGGCTTTGAGAATAATTTGCCACGCAGGAGATTTCATGAATATTAAATTCATTATCTTCATTATCTGAAGTTGTGCGTATTTATCTCTAATAAGAAAAGTGTCAAGATAATTCATTATTAAAGATAACTATTATGATTAAAAATCATAATATTATCCTAACTTTTCTATCTGACGGTGTGGAGCTATGCTTACTCAACGGCCTCGATTACTTGGGCCGATGATGTAAAATCGGGTCCAAACATTGCCCCCCAGCAAAACAAAATGAGTATGATTCTCTCCCCTCTTTTTTTCCCTCCCATTCCCTCCCCTCCTATTTGAACGGTCACGGTTAAGCCACTATATTAATTTTTATAGCAAGAAAAAGACAAAATAAGAGAATGTGAGAGGAATTGATGAAAGAGGATAGGAAGAGAAAAGGAGAGAATTATAGTCCAAAACAAAAAGGTGCTTAAAACCATGTTTGCGTACGTATGATAAGAGTCGAATATGCTGACTCAGAGCACAATGCAGAAGCAGTTGCTGCATGTAGTAATAACACGTGGAGCTGATGGCCCATGAGAAGGAAGTGTGATTGAAAATGCTGCGACTTTTTTTCCCTTGCCTTGTTTCATAAACAAATGACATGTGATATCCACAGACATTTTTTTACTTCTTTTACACCTCTTGTTAATTTTTGTCCTTTGATTTTCTTTAATTCATCCGTTCCGACAGCCGAAAATTAAAAAGGTGTGAGAGAAGTAAAAACGGGTATGTGGATATCACACCCCTAAACAAATATGTCCACCAAACCTTGAAGAAATATCTGATATAAAAATTACCCCTGAAACACACCGGTTGTCTTACGCGCGAGCAGTGAACAATCATTCTTTAATCAAGCCAAAAGTGTCCAAAAAAGGTAACAAATTCCAAATTATCTCATCCATTCTCATCTTAGGTAACTACTTTATAACCTACAAATTATTCCATATAAATGGAGATTAATTGGCTAATTAATGGTTAAATCCTAATTAATCCATTAATCACCAATTAAATCACTCATTTTCACACAAAAAACCTCTAAGGGCCGGCCACCTCCATTCCCTATATATATGACCTTATTTTTTCTAAAAGAGGAGACCCACACTCTTGCAAAACTCCCAAAAACTCTCCAAACACTTTTCTCTCTAAATTCTAACTTTGGCATCAGAGGCTTTTCGGCTAAAGCCCCCCCCATTCATTGTGTGCACGTGAGGCTCTTGGCCTTGACCAAATGTGTTGATTGTTTTGTAGATGCAATTTTGTCAAAGAAGGAGAAGGAAAATTTGCATCCACAAATTGGTGCTTTCATTGAGAGTTGAGTCCCACACTTGTAGAAGACTCTCGCATCCAAGGTTTTCTATTTTCTTGTCCATTTGTAGATTTTTCGTACGTTCTTATTATTAGAATTTTTTATTTGCAAAAATTCTTTGATAAAACGTAAAAGAGAAGTATAATGGCTAGAAATTTAGAAAATTCAACAAATAAAAATTTCAACATTCAAGAGATGGGACCACGGCGATCTATGAGGCTAAATGTGACAATAGGTGGAATGACACCACCACCACCACGAGTTTCCACCACAGGAACCACCGCGATGGCTACCATGGTAGCCACCCGCGACGAGGTCCATGGTTTCACCACCATGGCCCAAGCTGTGCAATCCATGGTGGCTCACGGCATTAAAGCCACAGCCCAAGTTATGTCACTCCACGCCCAACGCGTTGCCAAGCCGAGCCCAAGCCTCACACCCTTGTGCCTCGTACGCTGAGCAGCCCACTCTCGTGGCCCAGCCTGCTCCTGCCGAGCAGCCCACTCTTATGGCCTAGTCTACTCCTGAGGCCCAGCCTGCTTCCGCGGCATTCCAAGTAGCCCAAATCGGCCCAAGACTATCTCAACCATTTGGACCAATTATCAAGTCGAGGGCATTTTTACCATATTTCCCTATGGATTTGACATTTCCCAACTCAAATCTCATGCCTGGAGTCTATTACACTTCCACTGCTCAAGGAGGCACATTCTTTCCAAGCTCTTCCAATCTAAATGGCGAACAACACTTGTCTCGACAAGTCATACAGTTGACGAGCGCCCTTGCACAATAAACGACCTTGGTGAATCAACTTTTGCAACCCACCGAAATCCAACGTGCCGTGGACAAGGTATCCCGAAGTAGGACAAGGGCAGACGAACCTTTCCAGCAACGTCTCGGCCAACAGCCACTCGACCAGCCACGAGTCGAGCGTTTGGGTAGTGTACATTCCCAATTAGGCCTCCGAGATAACATATACTCCCGTCTTAAAGTGTTGAAGAGCGTGCACTCTTGACTAGGTCCGAGGATAAGTATACACTCACGGTTGGGGCCACATTCTGATAATCAACATGAGCAACCTTCCAGGCAAAGGGTTCATTCGCGGCAAGGCCCGCAATGAGCATCCTTCACTTCACATCGAAATAGGTAGCACAACAGAATGAGATAAGTAGTCACTCAACCCGGCTCAAGTTCAACCATTAACCTGTGAGTTACTCGCTCTCTTGCTAGGAGCAAACCACACCGATCGCAGCTGAGGCATAGATGAGCCGAACATATGGAATAGTAGCCTAGACCAGCAGGTCATAATCGGGGGTAGCCAAGGGCTCTGCCACCCCAACAAAGGTAAATTCAGGAAGAAGTAGAAATACTTTGAACGAGCGATTGCGCGATTTCCCACGCAATGAAGCTATTTACAAGACATGACCAACATAATCAAGTCATCTTTCAATGATAAGATCGAGCGGATAAGACTATCCCACATAGAATGTCAAATATAAAGACTTCTTCTGTTCTGACAAAACGCAGTAGCTTAGCCTAATGGCACTTCAGAGGCAGACGAGTACCAGAAGGACATACCAACCCAATTATCAAGAATTGGGGGCATGCCTTGTTCTCAACACTCTAGAAAATTCTTCATGTTGCGCACAACCTGGCCCAAACCAGCCTCATCTCTGTTTTGACAACCATGTTTACCTACTCCATGGCTCCCGACAACCATTGATATTAGCACACGACGAAACACCTAATAATGGCACAATAATTCTGGGAGCAGCTCACTGCGTTTGCACCTTTACGCGAACTCCACAAGTAGTTCGAAATTTCAAGAAGATCGCCAAACATGACCCGCAGGCTAAGGATTATTTCGGTTGTCCCAGCAGTCCAGTTTTCCTCAGTTGCACTCACGATAACGACTTCCATGCTCTCCAGTGCGAGAGGATAAACTAATTGCTCTCCAGTGCGAGAGGGTAAACCAATTCCCCGACACCCGTATGGGTCTGCTCTCCAATGCAAGATGATAAACCAATTGCTCTCCAGTGCGAGATGGTAAACCAATTCCCCGACATCCGTATGGGTCTGCTCTCCAGTTCGAGAGGATAAACTAATTGCTCTCCAGTGCGAGAGGGTAAACCAATTCCCCGACACCCATATGGGTTTACTCTCCAGTGCGAGAGGATAAACTAATTGCTCTCCAATGCGAGAGGGTAAACTAATTGCTCTCCAGCACGAAAGGGTAAACTAATTGTTCTCTAGTGCGAGAGGGTAAACTAATTGCTCTCCAGTGCGAGAGGGTAAATTAATTGCTCTCCAGTGCGAGAGGGTAAACAAATTCCCTAATACCCATATGGGTGTACTCTCCAGTACGAGAGAGTAAATTAATTGATCTCCAGTGCGAGAGGGTAAACTAATTGCTCTCCAATGCAAAATGATAAACTAATTCCTTGACACTAATCTGGGTAAGCTCTCTAGTGCGAGAAGGCCACATAGCTTAAAAGATCGAATGCTTGAAGATCAACTAGGCAACAAATGGTCAGAGGGTAGCAACCACTTTTGCACTTAACAGTTCACTCATCCGACACTTCATCTTCAGTAACTCTGATCTTAGCAGCTTCATCATTGACTGCTCCATCTATGGCAGTTGAAAAATCAAACTTAAACAGTTTCCTAATTTTTAGCCGGCAGCACAGACGTGGCAACCCAAACAATTGCCTATTCCACGCCACTTCCACAGCTCATGTCGAACCAATCCTTGGCTTCAATCAAGCCGAGCTGCTCAAGCAATGGCCCTTGCCACATCACCTTCTTGGTCCATGCCAAGACGACTCCTGGCCCCTGCCAGTCAACGTGCCGCACCACCCCGACGACTGCCCCATGGCAGCACCACCCAAGAAGAAGACAAGAAGAAATTAAGTTTTTATTACATTGGTGCGGCACGGAGAAGACGAAGAAAGCAACGAAATGCAATCTTTTGCACAGGCAAGATGTACAAGATTGCTAGAGGAGGGGGAACAAATATCATCTAAGCTCTCTCTCTCTCTTGTAAGGTAGAATAAATCACTCTCCAAAGTTGATTTAATAACCCACTTAAGGTGGATTTAAATAGGTTTTGAGAGAAATTTATTTCCCTTTCCTAGAATGATCTAATTTGATATTAAAAAGGGAATATACATCAAAACAGGAAGCAGTCCTAAGTTTCCTAGAGTAGGAAGATCTCTACACCTGCTGCCCTTTCTTACGAGCAGCCCAGCATGTGTGGGGGCATTTGTGGAGCCAAAAATAATCACAAGGCGACACGTGGATTTTTGGTAAAAATGACAAAGTTACCCCTGAGACACACTGGTTGTCCTATGAGCGAGCAATGGACAATCATTCTTTAATCAAGCCAATAGTGTCCAAAAAAGGTAACCAATTCCAAATTATCTCATCCATCCTCATCTTAGGTAACTACTTCATAACCTACAAATTATTCCATATAAATGGAGATTAATTGGCTAATTAATGGATTAATTCCTAATTAATCCATTAATCACCAATTAAATCACCCATTTTAACACAAAAAACCTCTAAGGGCCGGCCGCCTCCATTACCTATATATATGACCCTATTTTTTCTAAAAGAGGAGGTCCACACTCTTGTAAAACTCCCAAAAACTCTCCAAACACTTTTCTCTCTAAATTCTAACTTTGGCATCAGAGGTTCTTCGGCCAAAGCCCTCCTCATTCATCGTGGGCGCAAGAGGCTTTTGGCTTTGACCAAAGGTGTTGATTGTTTTGTAGGTGCAATTTTGTCAAAGAAGGAGAAAATTTGCATCCACACAAAAGATTTGTTGTCCAAAATATTTCATCTCTAACCGCTTTTCAATTTAGTAATCAAGCAAAGTGAGCGGCGTATTTTATATTCTCAGCTTCCTCATCAGTGAAAAGGAAATGCTTGGAAATTCTATGTATGGTGCTTGTTTTCTCGTATAGAATAAACTGTCAGAAATGCATCAATAACATGTCAATACGCTTTGTTGGCAACAACAATATGACAAAGCATTGTTCATTACAAAAACAGGCATTTGCGTGGGGTGCTTGTTTTCTCCTATAAAATGAATTGTCATAAATACATCAATAACATGTCAATATACTTTGTTGGCGATACAAAGCATTATTCATTAGAAAAACGGGCATCCGTCCCATCTCACGGACTAGGGTTCTAGAATCCCAGCAAAACAAAAAACGTGCTTAAAACCATGTTTGCGTACGTATGGTAAGAGCCGAAAATGCGGACTTAGAGCACAATGCAGAAGCAGTTGCTGCAGGAATAACGCGTGGAGCTGAAATTGCTGACTTAGAACAAACAGTGGCACATGGGAAGGAAGTGTGATTGAAGATACTGCAACTTTTGTTTCCCTTGCCTTGTTCCATAAACAAATATGTCCACCTGCTAACCTTGAAGAAAAATATGATATTAAAATTAAGCTCAAGTGTAATATGGTCAAGGAAAATGGGTGAGTTTGCTGCTGCTGCTGGTCTTTTTTCTGTAGGGCACTGCCAACCCTTGTTCTTTCCTGGTAGCGGAATGTGTTTCGGGCCGGAAAATATAGTGTGTAAGCCGATCAGGAAGCAGGAGAGTATTTGCCGTGCCAAAGCGGTGTTAAAATCGAAGAAAACGATGCAGCATAGGGAGCCTTTAAACTTTTACTTTAGATATACATTTGATGCTCCTCTCAATGAGTCACCTGCAGTACTATATTCATCTCTCTCTCTCTCTCTCTCTCTCTCTCTCTCAAACAAAAGAACAATCACTCACAGAAGCAAGCTCTTGCATAACTTGCAGGCTTCATTTGATCAATACTTGGACGATAAACACAGGGTTTTTAAAGCGATTTTTCTGGACACAGCGAAAACCCAAACAAAAGAGGTGTTCTATTTTCTTGTGCTAAATATTAGTATAATCTATATCCTAAATTTCTATGCAAATTTGAACTTCTTCTCAGTTCTTTGTCATCCTTTATCAGTTGGGTGAAAGTTAATTAATGACAAAATCACGAGAAGGAAATTTTTGTCTTGTAACCGGTTGTGTATCCCCTTAGAATGCTACGTAGTCACGTAAAGAGAGAGATATACACGCGTGAAAGAGAGATACACAAGGAAATATCTGACAAGGATAGCTCGATTTTCCCCCGGGAGAATGGAGGCTTCCAAACTAGTTTAAGAATGGATGTGTTTTTGCAGGAAGAGTGGAGAATTCACATGCCGGCCATGCAAGTCTTGTTCCTGTCTGTCTACCTTGCATTATATGTAAAGTTGAGATGCAAATCCATGGGGAAAGACTACCCTCCTCATGTTCCTCACCACATCTCCAAGATTCTTGAGCTTGACGTTGTAAGCACACCATAATCCATAATGCGCACACGCGCACACACACAATCCCCTTTGTGGCCGAGATCCTGCTCAACTGTAGATGGAATGGATACATATTGTTGTTGTTATCCACTACTGATATGTCGTTCATGTTATATCGACAACAATACAACTGTTGATATGTTGTCGATAAGGATTCCTCTCAGCTACAATGGAGCGGGATCCGACTTAATAAGGTGACATTTTTTTTCCTTTTTGTAGACTAGATGGGAAATCCGAGGCATTGCTGGGTATGATCCGAGTGGCGTCAACCTCAGCGTCAAAGGAATCATATTTTCAGATAGACAGGGAACACAAAGCTGGTTCAGAAACATATTCGATATAAACTTAAGCTTCATCGTACCACCTCTCTTCGCTTGGGTCCCGGACAATGTCATGTGAAGCATTACAAAATCGGTGAGTTCTTCAAAACCCCACCATGATTTGTGTTTGTTGAAAATTAAGGGGCAAGTACATATAGTAACCGAATAAATGTTTTCGACTGAAACAGCTCGTGAAGATGGTGATGACCGATCTGAAGTTGAATGCGATGTTGCTAGCAGTAGCAGATTATGAGAAATTCAAAAAGAGAAGCTCAAAACTGCAGTACAAAAGTTACAGCTTCTGAGAAATTAAGGGGCAGCTAAAAGAGTAGGGAGAATTTGCCTATAAAAATAACAAAAATTAAAAGATGGAGATGCAGGGGATCGAACCCTGTACCTCCCGCATGCAAAGCGGGCGCTCTACCATTTGAGCTACATCCCCTGTTGGAACTTCATTTCTATTATGTTAATGAATACGTGTAACAAATGCATCACATATGCAACCCTCATATGCATAAAGCGATATCCTTAACTACTATTCCGACGAAAAATATTGAAGATTTTTTAGTTAATATTGATGAGATTGTCATAATTCCATACTTTGGTCCTTAAGATTTATAATCGATATAAGTGGTTTTTAAGATTGTCCATTGTCAATCATTTTGTGAAAAAATTCTGTTAAATTAAGAAGCTACCAATATAAGTGGAGGAATTGATTTGGCAAAAATACCCAACGGAAGTTTTTTACAGAATGACCAAAATGATTGACGGTAGATAATCTCAGGAAGGAAAGTGAGCGGTTGCCAATCTCAATTACCATTTTGGCTAGAAAAAACAAAATAAAAACCTACTTTATTGTATTGCGATATAAATTAAGTCTTGTGTGAGATGGCTGTTCTAATAGACTGACTTAATCCACGTCTGCATATTAGGACAAATTTTAAATGAACCGACCGAGTATTGATTTTCACTCTCCTGTCTCATTTCTCGTGCAATCTTTTTCTTGTGTTTGTCCATTGATCCTTCTCGGTCTTTATATCATCTCATCCAACTTCAATTAGCTCTCCATTGTTTTCGGGTGCGACATATCTCCTGCACTGAGCTGATGAACTTGGCCACCAATACAAACTGAACTTATTCCGGGAAGCTTTCTTAAACCCTTATACATAAAGTCCTGCCTCAGTAAGTTTGCCTTATCCTGCTTTCCACCTTAAGCATTACATGTTGGAAAGCAGGACGTGATAATCTGTGTTGTGGGGATCCATTTGAACTATCTCTTGCAGAAGGCTTTCACCAAGCTCTAGCTTTCCATGGACTCTGCAAGAACCGAGAAGGGAACCCAAACCACCTCGTTCGGAGGCATTGGTTGGCATTTGCTTGATCAAGACTTCAGCCTCTTCCAATTACCAGCCCTGCTTAGAAGATCCACCATACACGCACAGTGTTCGATCTGAGGTGTTGCACCATGTAACGCTTGGAGATTATAAAAGTAATGCCGGCCCTGATAAAAAAGGCCCGAGTGGCTGCAAACACTCAACAAAGCAATGAAGGTTAATTCGTCTGGCTTGGCTTCCTCGAGCATTTGATGAACCATATTCAGAACTAGTTTTCCCCTTCTATGCATTGCCAAACCACTGTGCAAAGCATTTCATGTCGCTTCGTTCCTTCGGTGCATTTACTCAAGAACTTTTAACGCAGTGTCCACTGTATCAAATTTCGCATACATATCAACCAATGCTGTGCCAACCATGATGTCAATCTCATTCTCCATTGTCTTTAAAGCATAAGCGTGAACCCAACTGCCCGTCACCCTATCGCTGGATTGTGCACATGCTGATAAAAATGAGCGAAAAGCATTTCTTCAAGAAGCGAAAAGCTTTCACAGATAAGCCCAATCCTTAGATATCCAACAATCACGATCGTCCAAGGAACCTCATTTCTCTCATTCATTTGATCAAACACCACTCTCCCATTTCCAACACCATCCAATTTAACACTGTCCAAAATCGCAGTCCACGACACTACACTCCGCTCCTCCATCACTTCAAACACCCGTCTTGCCATACCCAATTGGCCACACTTGACATACATATCCATGGCCGCATTGCAGGACTTGATACCAGAATCCAAACCCACCTTCACCGCGAAATAATGTCCTTGCTCCCCAATTTGAGCATTGCCCGGCCGAGCACACGCATTGAACAAGCAAACCATGCCAGGTCGTCGCTTCGCATCTTGACAAACAAACGAAGCCCGGATTGTAGCATTCCGTGGTGGCCAAAGCAGCCCATGAAAACGGTCCAGTCCACGGCGTCTTTGTGCGAGTGGGGAATTTCATTGAAATGGCTTGCGTGTAGAAGGGACGGGCCTGTGCAGCGTGGGAATGGAGGCGGCAATTGTGAAGGAATGAGTCTGCTGAGGCGGCCAGTGATAATGGCGGCTTGGAGCTTCTTGCCAACCCCGATGGAGGATTGGCGCGTGCATGCTCGGATGAGAGAACGGAGCTGGCGGGTGGGGAGTGATGCCAAGCCGGTGTTGGTTGGCCGTCTCATAAGCTGAGAGAGGCAAAGCTTATTTTTGAAACTTTCGACAAACATAACACATAAGTGACAGCAACACTCTTTTATTATAAAAGAAAGAGAGTGAACCACTTCGATTATGACGTTTATATTGAAAAACGACGGTCACGTTAACAGGACGGATGGCTTTCCTCTTTATTGGGAAGGTGGGAAGTATTGTCTTACTCAGAAATGGTAAACACAAGTTACACGACCAATAAAGAATGTTGGAACGTATCGATATGTTTCCATTACTACACAATCAAGGATCTTCATCTTGACAAACTCAATTTGCACACTCGAAAAATAAGGAGAAACAAGAAACGCAAATTTGTTCATTTGAAAAGCCACAAGCTCAACAAGCGAAAAATGTCTTGGCTTATTTAAGTTTGAAGTACAAGATCAAGGCGATCACAATGACAAGAACCGCGATAACCGTGCCAATAAGCCACTTGTTCCTGTTCATACTCCTTGCCATGGAAGTCAGAACTCTCTTGCTTTCCCCTACGTTGTCATCCACTCCATGAAGCTGCAGCAAAAAAAAAAAACAGTTGGATAAATGAAATGCCATTCCAGGAAGATCATCGCCCTCGCCAAAGCAGTCAATAACTTTCTCTTTTTGAAAAACTTGTTTTCGGTACAGGCCCATGGATACACATAGGCACATGCCGCACATCACTCTCCTGAGAGACTTAACACTAATAATAGTGAAAAGAAGATTGAGTAAATCATGTTCATACGGTGATAATCTCCAGAGTCCAGATGTACATCAGTATATTTTTAAACATTACTCAAGGAAGAGAAGGCATGCATACTGACACTAAACATAAGAGGACGAGAGATGGAATATAAACTTGTTTGAGGAAAGATTGTTAAAACAACCATAAAATGAATATAAAGCCTGAAAAGGTAATTACCGTGGTATGAGCATGCAACAATGATTGTCTCTGTGAATGCAGATCCTGGAGGATCGAAACACCAAGCTCTTCTGTTTCGAGCATGGTTCTTCTGCTGTCCTTAACTCTATCACTGGACTTGTTTAATCTCTCGGTTGACATCATTAGCCTTGACCTCTGATCAGCTGATGCCTATTGGATTTTCATTAGTCAGTAAGTAATGTAAAAACATTTATCCACAATATCAAGAAAGGATGAGAGCAGAAGGCTTAAGACACAAATCAAGTCATGGAAAGCATACAATAGTATCATCAATTATCACAAATAAAGGAAAGACTAATAATTATGACAAAAACGAAAGTGCCCAGTGAAGAACAAATTTTCAAACTCAAATATCCATTGTTGTTTCAAGCATCTTTGTTATTCCTCCTACATTGTGCCTTTATTTATAATAATATATGTTGATGCACAAAATCAGTGGAGACTTTGGTACAATAGAAAGTGTTAAGTTTATGACCTTTGCTAGATTGCTCTGGTCACTAGTGTGGATAAGTATGCAAATGGATAGAGATAGGAAAGCAAACACAAGATGTATGTGGTTCACCCAGATTGGCTACGTCCACGGAGTAGAGGAGTTCTCATTAATTGTGAAGGGTTATCACAAGTACATAGGTTCAAGCTCTTCTTTAGTGAGTACAAGTGAATGATTTAGTACAAATGACATTAGGAAATATTGTGAGAGAATGATCTCTATTTATAGAAGAGAGTTTCTAGTTTCATTCTGACATTGACACGTGTCGTGTTGTGATTGACTTCTGATGTTGACACGTGTCGCGCTATGATTGGCTTCTAATGTCGACACGTGTCGCGCTGTGATTGGCTTCCTGGTTGGAGGGAAACTCTTCTGGATCCTTGACGGTATAACATTGACTGGTGCTCAGTAGTTTCGGGATTGGTCAAATATGGTACAAACAATATAAGGAGATAAATATTCCTTCATCCCCAAGGATACAAGATACAATAGGAAATGATAACTAGAATCAAATATAATATGGATTTACACAATCACAGTTAAACTATGAATGTTTACATGTTGATATTTTATTATTATTATTCTATGCTTTTTTATTTGGCTCACTCTCTCTCCCGTCTCTCTACCTTTCTTTTCTTTTCATCCCCGTCTTCTTCGCACTGTCCATAACTTTTCTTCTTCTTTTCATTTCATTTCCTATCAACAATTTAGGAAATTGTGAATATGTACTTCAATCCATAATCCAAATATTGCACCCAATTTCTCCAATATCAATTACAATGAAGAATTCAAATCAAACCCAGAGAAATTCCAAATTGTTTTTTTTTTTTTCAATTTGCAAAGACTTCGTTGGATTCTGCAGATGATTCGTCAGAATTTTCAGATGCTTCGTCGGATTGTCGGTTGTACAGAGGCTTCGTTGCGCCTATGCTAAAATTGTGCATAGGACGCAGTTATTGGGATTGTTGTTATTGTTTTGAGATTTAGGTGTTGCATCTGGGTTTCTGCATCATAGGCATGGTTGGGTTTCTGCTGCTAGCGTACAAAGGGAAGACGGGACTAGCAATCCTCTCATTTTTTGGGGCCTAGCTAAGACCTTCTAGCGAAGGTGTTAGTCCACGCGAGTCCTATTAAACCTAAACATAGGACTTCACTAATAACTAGTCCTATCTAGTCTAGTGAAGGCTAGTGATGCCAAACAAACACACTTTTACAGTACTGAATAATTTTTTTAGGATGTCAATTTGTCAAATACACTTTTTTCTTTTTAATCTTAAAAGAACACCATTGTAAACAATCGTCCGTCACCAAAAACACATTTATAGATACATGTTATAGCTAGGAAGAGGATCATCTCCAGATTTATTTTGTAAGGATCTCTACATATTCTAGTCGTTCATCGTATATCGCGCTGCTGTCAATTTTCGTCAGATATTATTTGTGTTTAATTATAAATAAAAAAAAATCAAATGATTTCTGACTGTAAAATACACAATGAATAGTTAAGATATGGAAATTTCTAGAATTCCCACAGGGTGAATCCGGATGGATCTAATTCCTTTATGTCTAGAGGACATGGAAGTCTTGACCTAGTCCTCACCAGTCACCATCACCAATCACACCAAGTAAAACAAATGTTAAATCTTTGAGCTTGATACCGTAAGCACCTTCATCCACTTCCATCGAATGCACGTCCCAAATTTCTACTTGGCTCCCAACCCACCCGAACAACTTGAGACTTGAATCAATATTCACTGCTTTGGGTTTTGGTAAAATGTCACACATTTGATATTTCAAATCTTTCACGTCGCAGTTTTCAAAAAAAAAAAAAAAAAAAAAAATGTTTCACGTCCCTACTTCATGTGCAAAAGATTTGTCGTCCCGTCGAAAATATTTCATCTCTAACCACCTTTCAATTTAGTAACCAAGCAAAGTGAGTGGCGTATTTTATTTTCTCACCTTCCTCATCAGTGAAATGGAAATACTTGGAAACTCTTTGCGTGCGGTTCTTGTTTTCTTGTATAGCACGAATTGTAACAAAATGCATCAATGACATGTCAATACGCTTTGTTGGCAACAATGATATGACAAAGCATTATTCATTACAAAAACAGGAGTTTGCGTGGGTTGTTTTCGTACAGAACGAATTGTCAGAAATGCATCAATAACATGTCAATACGCTTTGTTGGCAACAATGATATGACAAAGCATTATTCATTACAAAAACGGGCGTTTGCATAGGGTGCTTGTTTTCTCGTATAGAACGGATTGTCATAAATGCATCAATAACATGTTAATACGCTTTATTAACAACAATGATACGACAATGCATTATTCATTAGAAAAAGGGGCGTTTGTCCCATCTCACGGACTAGGGTTCTAGAATGCCAGCAAAACAACGACGTGCTTAAAACCATGTTTGCGGACGTATGATAAGAGTCGAAAATGCCGACTTAGAGCACAAGGCAGAAGCAGTTGCTGCATGTAGTAATAACACGTGGAGCTGATGGCCCATGAGAAGGAAGTGTGAATGAAAATGCTGCGACTTTTTTCCCCTTGCCTTGTTCCATAAACAAATATGTCCACCTAAACTTGAAGAAAAATGTGATATAAAAACTAAGCTCAATTGTAATATGGTCAAGGAAAATGGGTGAGCTTGCTGCTGATGCTGGTCTTTTTTCTGTAGGGCACTGCCAACCCTCGTTCTGTCCTGGTAGAGGAATGTGTTTCGGGCCGCAAAATGTGAAGGGTAAGCCGATCAAGAAGCAGGAGAGGATTTTCCGTGCCGAGGCCATGTTAAAATTGAAGAAGACGAAGCAGCATAGGGAGCCTTTAACCTTCTACTTCAGATATACATTTGGTGCTCCTCTCAGTGAGTCCCCTGCGGTACTATATTCATCTCTCTCTCTCTCTCTCTCTCTCTCTCTCTTAAACACAACAACAATCACTCACAGAAGCAAGCTCTTGCATAACATGCAGGCTTCATTTGATCAATACTTGGACGATGAACACAGGGTTGTTAAAGCGATTTTTCCGGACACAGCGAAAACCCAAACAAACAAGGTGCCAAATGTTCTATTTTCTTGTGTTAAATATTAGTCTAATCTATATCCTAAATTTCTATGCAATTTTGAACTTCTTCTCAGTTCTTTGTCATCCTTTATCAGTTGGGTGAAAGTTGATTAATGACAAAATCACGAAAATAAAATTTTTGTCTTGTAACCGGTTGTGTATCTCCTTAGAACGCTACGAGCGGTCACGTAAAGAGTGATATATGTAGGGCCGAGCCTAATTTTGAAAGGACCGAACCGAACTCGGGTTTAAAAGAAACAAGCCGGGTTGGGACGGATACAACAAATTTTAATACAAGAATCGGACCTAACCCTTTCAATCCCTACACAAAGATTGGGGATTCTCCCTCAATCTCAAAACCCCAATCCGAAAATTGGAAATCACAGAAGAACAAAAAAAAGATGAGTCGACCACCATCACCTTCTCCACGGATTGAGGAGTGCAGCCACCACCGCCTTCAAGCCCAGATCCTCCGTTTCGTCAACGAGATCGAGACCCGCTAGAGATCTTTAAGATTTGCTAGGGTTTTTTCAATTTGTCTAATTTCTGAAATCTGATGGGAGAACTGGATCTATTTGGGTTTTATTTTCAATTGGGTTTTTTTATTTATTTGAAGAATGGGTGATAAAGACCGTTGTTTTTTGTTTTTTTTTTTTTTTGTGTTTTCTGCTTTTCTGTTGGATCGATTTGGGTTTGTCACCTTCTGCAAATTTGAATCGGAAAGTGAGTGATGGCGAAGAAGGAGGTTCTATATCCCTCCGGCAAAATTGCAGATGAAAAAGTGCCGATGTTATGGAGCTCCTGCACTCCAGTTCAATGGTTCAAATTCATACTGGGGGTGGAAATCAGTGTTTTGTATTGAATTGTTGGTTCGAGCCAGGGGCCCGTTTCTTCTAGTATTTGGACTTGCCCCGCCCCACTATTAACCTAGACCCGGCCCGGCCCGCCCGTCCCGTGTTGAATTTTAAAAATTTGGACCTGTCCCGTACCCATCCCAATCTACAAGTCCAGAACCCTTTTGCCCACCCATATAAGCACGTGAAAGAGAGATACACAAGGAAATATCCGACAAGGATAGCTCGATTTTCCCCCGGGAGAAGGGAGGCTTCCCAGTTAACTAGTTTAAGAATGGATGTGTTTTTTGCAGGAAGAGTGGAGAATTCACATGCCGGCCATGCAAGTCTTGTTCCTGTCTGTCTACCTTGCATTATATGTTAAGTTGAGAGGCAAATCCATGGGGAAAGACTACCCTCCTCATGTTCCTCACCACATCTCCAAGATTCTTGAGCTTGACATTGTAAGCTCACCATAATCCATAATGCGCACACGCACGTGCACACACACACAATCCTCTTTGTAGCTGGAATTGATACATATTATTGTTGTTATCCACTACTGATATGTCGTTCTTGTTATATTGACAATAATACAACTGTTGATATGTTGTCGATAAGGATCCATCTCAGCTACAATGGAGCGGGATCCCACTTAATATGGTGACATTTTTTTTTATTTTGTGTAGACTAGATGGGAAATCCGAGGCATTGCTGGGTATGATCCAAGTGACATTAACCTCAACATCAAAGGAATCATATTTTCAGATAGACAAGGAACACAAAGCTGGCTCAAAAACATATTCGACATAAACTTAAGCTTCATCGTACCACCTCTCCTCACTTGGGTCCCGGACAATGTCATGCGAAGCATTACAGAATCGGTAAGTTCTTCAAAACCCCGCCATAATATGTGTTTGAAGAAAATTAAGGGGCAAGTACATATAGTAACCGAATCAATGTTTTTGATTGAAATAGCTCGTGAAGACGGTGATGGCTGATCTGAAGTCGAATGCGATGTTGCTAGCAATAACAGATTATGAGAAGTTCAAAAAAGAGAAGCTCGAAACTGCAGTAAATTCCAAGAAATTAAGGGGCAGCTAAAAGAGGAGGGAGAATTTGCCTATAAAAATAACAAAAATTAAAAAATGGAGATGCAGGGGATCGAACCCTGTACCTCCCGCATGCAAAGCGGGCGCTCTACCATTTGAGCTACATCCCCTGTTAGAACTTCCCTTTTATTGTATTGGGAAAAGTCATGTAATAAATGTATCACACTCGTATTTGCATAAAGAGATATCCTAAACTACTATTCCGACGAGAAATATTAAAGACATTTTAGCTACAATACTTCATGAAATTGTCGTAACTCCTCATTTTGATTTTTGAGATTTAAGATCGATGTAAGTGGTTTATGAGATTGTTCATTATCAATCATTTTGTAAAAAAATTCTATTAAATTAAAGAAACCACCAATTCAAGTGGAAGGATTAATTTGGCAAAAATACCCAAATGAGATTTTTCACGGAATGACCAAAATAATTGATAGTGGACAATCTCAGGGACAAAAGTGAGACGTTATACCAATCTCATAGACCATTTTGGTTAAAAAGCCGAAATCAAAAACTACTTTATTCTATTGCGATATAAATTCAGTATCGTGTGAGTTAATTATTCTAATCAACTTGACTTACTTTTTTACTCTCCTTTTCTCATTTCTCGTGCAATCTTTTTCTTGTGTTTGTCCATTGATCCTTCTCAGTCTTTATATCATCTCATCCAACTTCATGTAGCTCTCCATTGTCTTTAAAGCATAAGCGTGAACCCAACTGCCCGTCACCCTATCGCCGGATTGTGCACATGCTGATAAAAATGAACAAAGGGTGACAAAATTCAATTTCAAGAAACACCCGAAAACCATTTCTTCAAGAAGCGAAAAGCTTTCGCAGATAAGCCCGATACTTAGATATCCAACAATCATGATCGTCCAAGCAACCTCATTTCTCTCATTCATTTGATCAAACACCAATCTCCCATTTCCAACACCATCCAATTTAACCACACCGTCCAAAGTCGCAGTCCACGACACTACACTCCGCTCCTCCATCACTTCGAACACCCTTCTTGCCATACCCAATTGGCCACACTTGACATACATATCCATGGCCGCATTGCAGGCCTTGATACCAGAATCCAAACCCACCTTCACTGCGAAACCATGTCCTTTCTCCCCAATTTCAGCATTGCCCAGCCGAGCACACGCATTGAACAAGCAAACCATGCCACGTCGTCCACCTTCACGTCCTCACTTTGCATTTCGACGAACAAACGAAGCCCGGATTGGAGCATTCCGTGGTGGCCAAAACAGCCCATGATAACGGTCCAGTCCACGGCGTCTTTATGCGAGTGGGGAATTTCATTGAAACGGCTTGCGTGTAGAGAATGGACGGGCGTCTGCAGCGTGGAAATGGAGGCGGCAATTGTGAAGGAATGAGTCTGCTGAGGCGGCAAGGCCGCCAGTGATAATGGCGGCTTGGAGCTTCTTGCCAACGCCAATGGAGGATTGGCGTGTGCATGCTCGGATGAGAGAACGGAGGTGGCGGGTGGGGAGTGATGCCAAGCCAGTGTTGGTTGGCCATCTCATAAGCTGAGGGAGGCAAAGCTTATGTTTGGAACTTGGACAAACAGAACGCATAAGTGATAAGTTCACAGCAACGCTCTTTTATTATAAACGAAAGAGAATGAACCATTTCGATTATGACGTTTATATTGAAAAATGACGTCGCATTAACTGGATGGATGACTTTCCTCTTTATTGGGAAGGTGGGAAGTATTGTCTTACTCAGAAATGGTAAACACAAGTTACACAACCAATAAAGAATGTTGGAACGTATCGATATGTTTCCATTACTACACAATCAAGAATCTCCATCTTGACAAACTCAATTTGCACACTCGAAAAATAAGGGGAAACAAGAAACGAAAATTTGTTCATTTGAAAAGCCACAAGCTCAACAAGCGAAAATGTCTTGGCTTATTTAAGTTTGAAGTACAAGATCAAGGCGATCACAAAGACAAGAACCGCGATGACCGTGCCAATAAGCCACTTGTTCCTGTTCATACTCCTTGCCATGGAAGTCAGAACTCTCTTGCTTTTCCCTATGTTGTCATCCACTCCATGAAGCTGCAGCAAAAGGAAAAAACAGTTAGATAAATGAAATGCCATTCTAGGAAGATCATCGCCCTCGCCAAAGCAGTTATATCAGTAACTTTCTCTTTTTGAAAAACTTGTTTTCGGTACAGGCCCATGGATACACATAGGCACATGCCGCACATCACTCTCCTTAGAGACTAACACTAATAATAGTGAAAAGAAGATTGAGTAAATCATGTTCATAAGGTGATAATCCCCAGAGTCCAGATGTACATCAGTATATTTTTTAACATTACTCAAGGAAGAGAAGGCATGCATACTGACACTAAACATAGAGGACGAGAGATGGAAAGTAAACTTGTTCGCAGAAAGATTGTTAAAACAACCGTAAAATGAATATAAAGCCTGAAAAGGTAATAACCGTGGTATGAGCATGCAACAGTGATTGTCTCTGTGAATGCAGATCCTGGAGGATCGAAACACCAAGCTCTTCTGTTTCGAGCATGGTTCTTCTGCTGTCCTTAACTCTATCACTGGACTTGTTTATTCTCTCGGTTGACATCATTAGCCTTGACCTCTGATCAGCTGATGCCTATTGGATTTTCATTAGTCAGTAAGTATTGTAAAAACATTTATCCACAATATCAAGAAAGGATGAGAGCAGAAGGCTTAAGACACAAATCAAGTCATGGAAAGCATACAATAGTATCATCAATTATCACAAATAAAGGAAAGACTAATAATTATGACAAAAACGAAAGTGCCCAGTGAAGAACAAATTTTCAAACTCAAATATTCATTGTTGTTTCAAGCATCTTTGTTTCAAATTAACAAGTGAAGTGACCACCAAGTCAAACCAGAACTAATCATGTTCACTCATTCTATTGGTCAAGCAAGCGAATTAGATTGAGATAACTAAAATAGCACATCGAAGTGAAATCTTCCTCAAAAAAGTAGAAGAACTCCAAGTTTCATGTCAAATATATACCAAGATCCATCACAAACTCACTACCGAATAATGAATCACATTTTATATCTTAAATAAATATTCGAAAAATAAAACGAAGCTAAAAGGATTTAGACATACTGTCAGAGAATCAGCCATGCCTGATTCCAGCAACTCATCTCGGGCAGATGCATATGCGTTTCCAGATACAAGTTTTTTAACTTCGCTTTTCAGATTATTCAGATCCGACTTATATTCCCTCAGCTTAGCAAGAAGCACAGCCTTAATATTTGGTGGCAAACTTCTTGCCTCAAGGTCCATTTTCCGGATCTGAAATTTTTTAAGAAACAGCACATCAGAACCAATTAAAAAGAAATAACAAAAAAAAAAAAAAATCCTCCCAAAGAGAATAGTTCAATCAATTACCAAAGATTCTGCATCATCGATTCCAGCCTTTATTTCAGTAACCTTCTGCTTCTTTTGTTCTGAGATTATAACAGAGACAGTAGTGTATATAAATATCAGTATCTCTTGACTTGATAAGGGAGAATATACGCATTCACAACAAGAACAAGAAGTACAAAAAGAAGACCAACAGTATGTTTAAACTCCTAACGAGCACAATTTGAAATATTATTCTTAAGTTCAATTTTATATAGATAGAAGTTTGCAGGTAAGATGTTCTTTTGGGAAATATATCTACCGCATGAAATGAATTAAAATCCCTTTTCTCTTTATCTTTGTACCTACAATACTCAACATCCAAAAAATTCAGAACCGACCCTTCTTCCATCCATTTCTTTTCCATTCAAATGTTGAAAAACTTAAAAGATACATACTGCACAATCCAAGACCCGATCCTATTGCCTCAAGCATTTCAGTCCTTTTCTTTCTTGTTTTCTCCCCATTTTTAAAACAACCATTATTAACATATTATGCATAACTCAAGCCGATGGAAGCTCTATCCGCCTAAGACTTTCGCCATCTTTTGAGACCACTAAACCTATAGCTACTGATAATTTTTCAACCTCAAATAAAGAAGCATAATTTTGCGGCAAAGCGGCAACAGTTAGAAACTAAGCAGTCCTAGTGATCCAATAGACACATATCCACACTAATCCCAACGGAAACTCGGTTCTCGCGTAATTAATTCAATCGAATACATACATTAAGATCCTTCATCAGGTTTACGCCACCAACAAAAAGACCCAAACTTTATTTCATAAAATCCATGTCATCAGCACAATTAAATACAACATGAATCATCCAAATTCAGGGCAACCATACATATGATTCAATTCACAAAAATTTTAAAAAAAAAGAAGGAAAAGTGAGAAATTTTTTACCTCCATCGAGAGCCCCAGCTATCGTACACTTTTTGGTGAGGTTGGCGGAGAGCTCACTGTAGTGGCGCTCGTACCCTTCGAATACGTCGCTCATCTTTCCCTAAATTTCTCTCTGCATTCAACCCATCACAAAATTTCAGCAATATTTCAGATACAAAGCCCTAAATCCATCAAAATTGGGAGATTGAATTGCGGAATTATGATGAAAATATAAACGATCTGAAATCCATGGAATCGCAGGTAAAGACCTTTCGAGATTGGAGATTCGAATGTATCGCCGGAGACGACGGCTGAGTAGCGGTGGCGGGTGTTGATTTTTAGTTCTATGCGGTGGTGGCGGTTTGCTGTCGAAGCGATCGAAACGGTAATGTGCGCGAAAGGAAACCAACTAAGTGTATTAGTGTTGTGTGCACCTTCTGATAAAGTCACTGCACGTTGGATTCTCGGTCGCTACACTTGGCGCTTCATGCTGACAACTGTCACGTTGTGGTTAGAGTTCGTTGGTGTATTAATATTGTGTGCACCCTCTTGTTAAATTTGGATACCACAATCATACCGGGTTACATTAGTAGAAGACCGGAAAACATGTCAAATATATTTACTTGATAAATGGTGTAAATACATGAAAGTAAAAATTTAGAATAATTTTTATTTTCATTTTTTAAGTAAACGTGGTGTAAAATTACTTTAAATATATACAACCCAAAATTAATTCACAAATTTCACATATTATTTCTTATTTTACATGCTTTATCATTTCTTATCATTCTAGTTAACTTTTGTCAAACCTTGTTCAGAATGAGACAACTGGTGGCAAGTCACGGTTATTCACCTATTTCGGAGGCCGGAAGACTCATAGAGACATTTCAGCCTCATTCTGACTAATTAAATAATAAGATATTGTCATTTGTACGGTTAGAGATTTTCTTATATTTATTCTTACATTGTACTTGAAACGTTTAAGATTCAACTTTCACGAATGACGAGTTTGATACCAAATTATTATTAGCTCATTACACGGTTTAGTCCAATCTTCACCATTAGCATCATTGTATAAAATCAATAGAACATAATACAACTAATAAAATAATATAAAGTCTAATAAATCTGAAAATTCTTGTAATTCCATATAAACTTATGTTTAAAGGAAATACCTCTAAAAAGTCATGTAACTAAATTATCATGTGAAAAAATAGTTTAAACTATCATGTCACTTAGTACTACGGTCTAGTGATATTCCTTTTCACTTATAATTTTCACTTGTAAGTGAGAGGTCTTAGGTTCGATTATCGTCAAAGATAAAGTTGTACCACATTATTGCTAGTCGACTGTGAGGGTAAGCGGCCACCCCATCTCCCTTAATGTAGATAATATCACGTGTTCAATAAAAAAACTATCATGCTAAAAATTTACTTTGTGAGTAAACATCAACTCGATCTTCAAAAATCATACTGTTATTGTGTCAATTTGTTACATACTTTTCTTCCGATAAGAAAAAGAAAAAAAAATATATCATTACAAGTATTTTTGGTATAATGATATTCGTCTTCATTTATATTTGAAAAACCTTTAAATGTTTGAATCTCGTAGATAACAAATATGGTTGCATCAAAGGAAGAAAATAAAACCTCAACCAAAATCCTTAATTTTTTGTGTGTATTCGTGTCGTATGTATTTTTCTGTTGGAACTTTGCCACGTTAAATACCTAATGAGTAAGCTTGAATAATGCCCATATATTGACCTGGCAAGAACTTATTGGTGGTTAAAGGTCTCACGGCAGATGGCAAAAAGTCAATTGGATTCCATCGTACAAATAGATTCGCTCGCAGCCAGCGAACTGAAGACCAACCACAAAGACAAAGGCCATAACGTATACACGTTTAGGGTTACAAAAAACAGCCTTTCCAAAACCCTAACGCCCATTCTTCACTTTCACGTTAGGCTTTGAAAAACTTACAGAGAGGTTGTAGCTATGGTGTCTGGGACAGAGGTCGGCACAAAGCCTGTGGTGATGGACGCGCCCGCCACCACATGCTAGGTCGCACGGCGTCCACCATCGCCAAAGGGCTTCCGAGCGAGGAGAGTGCGACGCTGGTTTGCTGCGAGCAGTTGTGTGGTGAGGCAGAACATGAAGTATATGAGGTTCTTGAAGAAGCGTATGAACACTCAGCCTTCTCATGGTCCCATCCATTTTTCGTACCCCGACTAAGATCGTCTGGCGCACCATCCGTGAGTGTATGTCGTTTCTCTTTTATTTTTGTTTTTATGTGTGTTTTCCTAAGTTTGAGCTAGTAAATTTATCTAGCTTTGATTTTTCTTGATGGAACGTTGCTTTATTCTTTTAATAGTATATAATTATGTTCTTTTACAAGTAACTGAACACAACTTTGGCTAGTTTATGAGTTTATTTCTGGGATTGGATTCTTTTTGTTGATCAGTTAATTTCTTAAACTCTATCGGACTTAATTTCTTAAGCTCGACTAAGTTTGATTCTGAAATGGACTGTTGGAATAGTTTAGGTACTTAGAAATTGACATTCAACTTAAATTCAACAGGTGAATGACATATTTTTCTTACGAAATAAACAAATGAATGATCTAGTACTGGATTCTCCAAAATTTTCAATCAATTCAAAATACAGAAAGAAAACGCATTCATGATTCATCGACTTTTGTTTTCACAGCATATGAAGGTTGAGCACCAAAGATTAGGCCTGGCAATTCCTGACACGACCCGATAACCCGACACGACACGACCCGACCCGAAATTAACAGGTGTTCGAGTCGACACGATAACGAATCGGGTATTATCGGGTAACCCGATAAGCACCTGTTAAGATAACGGGTTGGTTCGGGTATACACGTGGGTAACACGATACACGATAAGCAGAATATTAATTTAATAATTTTATAACTCTAAAAAATACTATAATAATTATATATATTAATTTAACAATTTTATACCCCTAAAAAGTTTAAAACTATAATAATTATATATATATATATATATAATTAACTATAATAATTATATATACTATAATAATTATACCCCAAAATATTAACTATATAATATATATAATATATATTATATATTAATTTTAAATTTAAATTTTATACCCCTAAAAAACTATAATAATTATACGTACAAAATAAATAGATTTAAATCTACATAATAAATAAATATATATATATATATATATATACACACCATTGAACTTGATGGGATACACGAAACTAATTTCAACGATCAAACCGTCAAACTTGTTTGTATATGCTTCGAGATCGCATACACGAAAAATCACAAAAAACAAACATTCAGAGATCAAGTAATGAGACAAAACTTTTCGACGGTTATAAAACAAAAAATCACGATTTAACGGTTATTTTAACTCCGATTTTGATTATTTTTTACATCTACACTCCTTGACCTTATATGAATACAATGAATGAACTCGATCTTCATTTTAAAATATTTACAATAGTGGATACCACAAAATCTTATGTTATACTTAATGAAAGTATGAATAAACTCTTAAGTATTAGTGAATCTATTATTTTTATGGGATACGCATTCTACGAAACTAGTTTCAACGATCCAACCGTCAAACATGTTTGTATATACTTCGAGATCACATACGCCAAAAATTGAAAAAAACAAACATTAAGAGATCAAGTAACGGGACAAAATGTTTCGACGGTTATAAAATGAAAAATCACGATTTAACGGTTATTTTAACTCCGATTTTGATTATTTTTTACATCTACACTCCTTGACCTTATATGAATACAGTGAATGAACTCGATCTTCATTTTAAAATATTTACAATAGTGGATACCACAAAATCTTATGTTATACTTAATGAAAGTATGAATAAACTCTTAAGTATTAGTGAATCTATTGTTTTTATGGGATATGCATTCTACGAAACTAGTTTCAACGATCCAACCGTCAAACATGTTTGTATATACTATACTTCGAGATCACATACACCAAAAATTGAAAAAAAAACATTAACATTATCAAGTAACGGGACAAAACTTTTCAACGGTTATAAAAACGAAAAATCACGATTTAACGGTTATTTTAACTCCGATCCGATTTGATGAATTTTTACAGCTACACTCCTTGACCATATATGAATACAATGAATGAACTTCGAATTTCAAAAATATTTACAATAGTGGATACCACAAAATCTTATGTTATACTGATGAAAGTATGAATAAACTCTTGAGTATTAGTGAATCTATATATTTTTATGGGATACGCATTCTACGAAACTAGTTTCAACGATCCAACCGTCAAACATGTTTGTATATACTTCGAGATCACATACGCCAAAAATTGAAAAAAACAAACATTAAGAGATCAAGTAACGGGACAAAACTTTTCGACGGTTATAAAATGAAAAATCACGATTTAACGGTTTATTTTAACTCCGATTTTGATTATTTTTTACATCTACACTCCTTGACCATATATGAATACAATGAATAACTCGATCTTCATTTATTTTAATATTTACAATAGTGGATACCACAAAATCTTATGTTTTACTTTATGAAAGTATGAATAAACTCTTAAATATTAGTGATTATTTTTTTTTATGGATACGCATCGCATATCTACGAAACTAAATTTTCAACGATCCAACCGTCAAACATTTTTGTATACTATTTGAATCACATACGCTAAAAATTGAAAAAAAAAATAAACATTAAGAGATCAAGTAACGGGACAAAACTTTTCAACGGTTATAAAACGAAAAATCACGATTTAACGGTTATTTTAACTCCGATTTTGATGATTTTCTACAGCTACACTCCTTGACCCTATATGAATACAATAAATGAACTCGATCTTCAATTTAAAATATTTACAATAGTGGATACCATAAAATCTTATGTTATATTTAATGAAAGTATGAATAAACTCTTAAATGTTAGTGAATCTATATATTAAATTAAATTTAAAAATTTGACTAGTACTGTATGAATGTTTTTTTTATTAAGCTCTTATTTTCGAGTGTAGATGTAGTACTTAAACGATAAATGTGTTTTAATGTTTTGAAGTAATATTTATGTGGCAATGTGTGGTATGTGCAAATTTAAGAAAAAAATATATTTTTCTTAACGGGTCTTAACGGGTCATAACGGGTCGGGTCACTTTACCCGTTGGGTAAAGTGACCCGACCTGTTAAGGACCCGTTAAGATAACAGGTGTGACACGACACGACCCGTGAAGATAACAGGTGTTACACGAAAACGACACGAACACGACAGACACGACCTGTTTGCCAGGCCTACCAAAGATACTTATGCACCAACTTCAGAATCAATGTTAACATAAGTCTTATGTACATAAAGTATTATGATTTGTCTTCTATTGTAATTAGATTAGGAGTATATTAATCATCTTTCTTGTTTTACAAGTCTTTGTACAATATATATTTCCTCCTTGCGGAGAAGAATAATAGATGATCTGAAAATTCCCCCAAATCAGTTTCTTTGAAATCTGTTCTGAGAACCTCTCCGAATTCTAACAAGAAGTAGGGAAGAAAAACACTTCTAGAAACTTCATCCTCCCATTCTAAGCCATTCCACCACTCTTTCTGTCCCCTGATAATGAGATTACATCGTTCGGCACTGGTAGAGTTGAGTGGCAGCTTCTTCAACGCCGGACATTCATATACCAAGATTTGGTTGAGATGCAGAAATGGTAAGGCATTGCCATATATGCTCCTTAGCCGCGGTAGTGAATCCAAATGCAGATCTGTAAGTTTTGCGAAAGCATTTTGTTCTTTCACCGCACCTGCCATTCTACCAAATCTTTCCAAATCGATTATTTTCTCCATCCCAGAGCAGTCACGCACTTCTAAGATTCTGAGATTGGACGCGAAAACGAGCCATGTCAGGTCCTTGAGATTTGGGCACCGGCATACATCTACGTACTCAAGGCCACAGAAGCGACTTTGGTTTCTCATCATCGCGTTCCGAGGATCATTAGGATCTTGTCCTGCCCAATAAATCTCCAATTCTTCCAGGTTAGGATATTCATCAATATGAAGGCCACGAAGATGTTTCATGTCCGCCAGAGATGATATATCTAGAACGCTTGAGTAGTTCTTGCCATCCGAGAGGTGTAGATACTGAGTGCTGGTCACTATTATGTTGTAGCTGAACAATTTTTTGAAACAATAGCTACTTCGTATGCACAAAGTAAATACCTCAAGGTGTTTCAAACCCTCGATTTCCTCTATCAGGGCTCTTTCACCACCAAAAAGAATTCTGTCTGAAGAACTACAGCCGAACAATTTCAGAACTTTTAGCATGTGAAAATTTGATATTAGTTCTGGTGGAACAAAATTAAGTTGATTTGTATACTCCAAGTTCAAATATTTTAGCCTCACTAAGGCCTTCAATTCGATCGACAATTCTCTTATACCAGTCCTAGACAAATTCAGATGCTGTAAGGCAATCAGGTTTGAAACTCCAGATGGCAATTGGGTTAGCTTCTCATTTCTAGACAAATCCAAAACTCGCAGTTTATGCATGTAATCGAAGAAGCCATCAACAATCATATTGAGAGGACTTCTGCTAATATAACTTCCTTGAATCAATAAGGTCAACAACTGGGTAGATTTTGGTGTTTCAACGATACTTTCAATATGATTATCTACCAACGACACCCTTGTTGCGGTTTTCCATTTTTTGACATCCGGCGCTGCTTGGGCACTTGTATGGACAAGGAAACTGTCGTTCTCTTTTGAACAGTCACGAGCTAACCACAATGCCATGTCACGAATCATATCATGCATCTTTACCATATCTAAGTTAACTTCCAACAAACATGCAGCAACAAGAGTTCCTATAATATCGTAACACTTGTTTTTTGCTTCCTCTACACTCCCATATTCGTCCAACATTGCCTCACACATCCAAAGATATACTAAATCATCTTTAAATATGAAGAAATCTTCTGGATATAGAGCACAATATAAGAAGCAAGATCTGACCTTCTCATCGGCTAAATTATCATAACTAAATTTTAAAAGACGGAACACCTTATCCTCCATACCTGAAAACTCGTGCGCGGATTTTTTCAGAATGTGAATCGCATGGTTCCACTCTTGAGTTGTTTTCTTGCAAGCCATGGCCCGACCAACAGTAATTAGTGCGAGTGGCAAACCTCCACACTCTTTTGCAACAGTCTGAGCAAGTCGTTGAATATCTGGGTGAATACCAAGTGTTTCCCTCCCAACCTTCTCCTGAAACAAGTTCCATGCTTTGTCCCATGCCAAACACTCCACTTTAATCTTCTTATGAGCATCCATCTGACCACATACATCCTCCGAACGAGTGGTGAAGATTATTTTAGACTTGTTGTGCGGGTTAGGAATAGGAACCCCTAATTTGGTTATTTCAATAGGCTCCCATATATCATCGAACAATAACACAAACTTCTTCTTGCTCAATAGCCTGCAGATGTGTTCAGCTTTGTCTGACTGCTGTTTTTGTTTCCACGAGTTGCTGGAAAACCCAATCTTGTCACCAATCTTATCTTGGACAGTTTCAACATTGTGGTCCTTGGATACCACAATCCATATCACGAGATCAAAATCAGCATGGAGCAATTTGTTATTGATTTGGGTCAGTAGGGTAGTCTTACCCACCCCTCCCATCCCGTACAATCCAATTATTCCCACATGTTCATCTTCTAGCTGGCTCCAAACCTTATAAAACACAAATTCCATGCCAACAGTTGGTTCCATAGGTCTTTCACGGACTAAAGTTGCCGGGAAGGTTTCCTCTGCGACCTCCGCAAAAATACCCTTGTTCTTTAAATCATCGACTTCTGCCAGCTTTTTATACACTTTTTTTCCGTACTTGTAGCTGGACAAGTAGTTTTTTGAGCAGTAAGCTCCGCAACACAATTTCTGAATTTCTTGAACTCGACCACGCTTGACTTCTGCGACTTCATTCTCAATCTTTTCCACCTTTTCAATCCACAGTTGTACCTGGTTCAATCGCTTCATGGATCTCTGCAGCTCTGCAACCTCAACCTTTCTCAATACATCAACCTTCAAAGCGGTCAGTTCTCGAAAAGAACGATCCAGAGCTTCGAGGTTTTTTTTCAGCCTCCTTATGTATTTTGGTGGTTGAATAAGGGGACCCCAGCAGGAAGAATCAAAAATGGGATCGCTTGGCAGGGATATTGAGACAATGTTACCCATTGCTTGCAGAGAAATACTCAAAGAAAATAAGAAAAAGTGATTTCTAAGCTTTTGCTGAGAAGAATGTAGCTAAGAAAGGATAGATCATAATATTTCGCCGGCAGGCGTGGGTAAGAGTCTCGAGAGATATGTGGAGTAGGATTGAAGGTGGGTGGACCACCCGAAGGCTACGCTACGGGAATTTAGTGTACAAGTGGACTAATAGATGAAGCCAGCAGGAGGTGGTGGCGAGTGGTGGGAGCAACCGGACAAGGCCTCATCTGAAGTCTTTGCAAAGACTTCAGTTTAGAGGTTGCAAATGCTGGTCGCAAGTCGTCTCTAGACTTTAACTGAAGGACCACCTAACTATAACATGTAAAGTGCTGCGCAGTCTCCTTGGTTTTGTTCCACCAGGAAATTGCGCACCCTAATCTAATGCTTGATTCATGTCCACAACAATGAAAGTTGCAGACGCCTTCCTCCAAACAAGGGGCACTGAACCCACCTGCCCGTATCCCAGTCTGCTTTCCTTTTGAGTAATGTTTTGGTGTGATGGTCATAGTACTATCAATTCACTCATGTTATAATATGTATGACCGTCACACTAAAAATTTCTCCTTCTTAAACATCCTCAAGGTGAGAGCTACTATGACTTACAAGTTTAAATTCCTTATCCTGCCCCTGCCTAAAACACTACCATGCATCTCACTTGGCATCTCCTTTTGCTCACAATCACACAACTTAAATAGTTATGTTATGCTTAGGATCTAGGAGGTCGATCAAAACTGTACCACCTTGAATTTTGAAGCTATCCTCACGCATGTTTTGCCAATTCAGGAGGAACATAACTACTACTCTCAATCAGTTCCCTTCTTGGCTGCTTTTTGCTTGAGTTCATAAAACACATTCTTGTCATGCAAAGTCAAGAACATTGTCGCCACACCGGTCTTTCCAGCATGACCAGTACGCCCAATTTATGCGTGCAGTGTTGAATTTTCTCCCGCGTAACATAATATGCGCTACATACATTGATTGAATATGGTGAGTTTCGAGTCGAATTCAACCCCGGCATCAAAAGGTCCCATATTTGTTACTGTTAGCTGAGGGCGCGCAATCTCCTTGGTTTTGTTCCGCTTCCTCTCGGCGGAGTTGGAGGGCTGATTGCTCGCGTTCAGCTTTGTTTAAGAACACTGGTCTATTGGACGGCGGCAATGACGAGGCGGCGCCGGCCGCTGTCGAAACGCAATCGAAGGAGCGTTTCATTCTGTTGAACAGAAATGAGTCCCAAGGGTACATGGCGGGAGCCAACGCGGACACAGGGGTACAATCGTCAATTTCGAAAAACAAAGTCGGATACCTTCCGTTGCACAGTAACTCTCAGGAGCAAATCTCCATCCTACCCCTCCCCTCTCCCCTCAACTTTGCTCAAAGTTCCAAAAATTCGGTTGCTTCCTGCTCGAAGTTCATCACTTTCCCAATCAACTGCATCAAAGTTCGAAAATTGAACTGTGCCCATTTGAATTCGATCCATTTGCTCCGAAGAAATGATCGTTTCGGCGCTTTTAACGTCGGTGGGAATCAATCTCGCCCTCTGTCTCTTGTTCTTCACTCTGTATTCAATACTCAGGAAGCAACCCAGCTACCTCAATGTCTATTCGCCGCGCTCGGTGGCGGCCAAGGAGGAGTTGGAGGAGAGCAACAAGTTCAATTTCGAGCGGCTGCTGCCGACGGCGGGTTGGGTGCGGAGGGCGTGGCAGCCCTCTGAGGACGAGCTTCTGTCAGTCACCAGCTTGGATGCTGTCGTCTTCATGCGCATTTTTATCTTCAGGTTAGTGGGGGTAGGAAAATGGTGATGTGCTGCTTCCTGGGTGTGTTGAGAGTATTTTTGGGTGCGTATTTGAGTTTGGTTTTGTTAATTTTGATGGAGTTTGAGAGTATTTCGGTTTGCTGGGTGTGTTGAGATTAATTTTGGGTGAGTATTTTGAATTGGGCTTTATTTCTTTGTTTTGATGCAGTTTGAGAGTGTTTGGGTTTGCTGGGATTGTTGGGATTCTGGTTCTGCTTCCGATAAATTATCTGGGGAACCAGCTGAATAGGGATTTTGATATTTCGAATTTGCCCAGCAAGTCTTTGGACTCCTTCAGCATTTCGAATGTGAATGTTGGCTCGAAATGGTAATTACTTACTTCACTGTGGGAATTTTGATGACCAAAGTTTTTTACTTGACATAAAATTGCAGTATTTGAACAATGTCTGTTATTACTGTTTTGGTTAATTGTTGCATTAGCTAAACTCTGTTTATGGTTCATATTTCGACACATTGTTCCCCAAATGCAGTAATTTTTCGTCTTCGTTGGCTTCCAATTCTGTTGAGTTTATGGCATTTTAAGTTAGTGCGTTGCTCAAAGTGAAAAACCTAGGATATACCGGATTTCCCTTGGCAATCGTTGTATCCAAGTTGTATGCTTTCCTATATGCTTGCACATTTAAAGCCAACGAAAGGCGGGATAGCAGTTTTTTGCACATGGGTTGACATTTGGATATAGGTCTCTGGTGTGTCTTCTAATTTCTCTGGGAGAATTTTTAAATATAAGCTTACTTTGGATATATTGTGCCAGAGATCGGCAATTGTATTGGAGTTTTCTCTTACTTTTTGTGCTTGTACATTCATAGACTAGGAGGTGAGAGTGAAGTTGTTCAAGCTCATACCCAGATTTAGACTTATGTTGGTTGAATAACTTTCTCACTTGCTGTTCAAAATAACTTCATCATGTACGTCTATGTGGACTTCTTTGTTGTTGCTAGATCTTTTTCAAGTACATTTTATTATTTATATAGCAGGCATAGTAAAATTATCCTGAAGGTACCCTGATTATCTGATTCGGTTTCCCCAAGGTTATGGGTTCACTTTTGTGCAGCATACATTTTCACTGGAGTCGTCTGCTATCTTCTTTATTATGTAAGTCGGTTTTTGTTTCTCTTTCATGGCTTATTCCATCACAATTTTCTGTTTCGTCGAAAAGAAAGAGTCAATTGTGATTTCAACTTGATGACTATAACTGCAGGAGTATAGCTTTATCTCATCGAAAAGAATTGCTCACTTCTATTCATCCAAACCTCAGCCTCATCAGTTTACAGTATTAGTTCGTGCTGTTCCAGTCTCATCTGGGAGCAGCTGTAGTGAAACTGTTGAGAATTTTTTTACGGAGTATTATCCTTCTACGTATCTTTCACATTCAGTGGTTCGTCGAACTAACAAACTCCAACGTCTCACTGTAAGCATTCTGTCATGTATAATCCTGATATGTGCTTATGCTCAAATGCATTTTTTATTGTATGGTCCTGGAAATGTGTGCAGATAATCAAACACATCATATCTGTTTATGCACCCTCAGTACCTCATTATTCTTTGCTGAAAAACAAAAGCTTTATGAATTAATTTGTTCTCGAGCTCCATCATCTTCATTGGATTGACTTTTTAATTTTTACGAGGCTAAGCTTTCACAACCTTTAATTAATTAATTAGTTTTCGATGAGTATCAGACTAAGCCCCAACGAGTTAATTTTTTGGTTGTATTCCAAGGCCCCGCTTGGTGCTTCTGTAATTACTATGTGTATCCTATTTAGGTTATTACACGTCACACTTCAGAGTCCCTTTCTACTGGCTTCATCCCACACTACCTGGCTATCAGTCGTACCTCTTTAACGAAAAGCTCTCGGTACTGTTCACTTTAACGAAAAACCACATTTTTACACTAAAAAGTCAATCCTAGTACTATTCACTTTACCCTTTATTTTGTCCTTATCGTTAAAACTCAAAGTTTTGAAGCCCTTTTCATTAGTTTTCCTTATATTTTTTTGGTTTCTAAAACATCAAACCCGAGAGCATTTGAACAAAATTGTAACAATTAACATTTCTCTATCAATGAGATATGAGAACAATTCATTTTCTTTTCCTTGTAGAGTGATGCGGGGAAGCTATACCGAAAGCTCGTGCGTCTGAGATCAGAAACTAATACTCAGCAAAGATTAAGGCGTGATGGCTCTTGGGGGCTATCTGGACGCAAAGTTGATGTTTTAGATCACTATGGAAAGAAATTGGATGATTTAGAAGATAATGTGAGAATGGAGCAATCGTCAGTGGCAGGAAAGGTATTCATGCTATTAATTATTTCAAAGGAGTGATAGTAATTGATTGCTAATGGTATTAAAGAAGTCCTCCTCTGCATAAGACTTCGTTTAGCAAACAGCCAACCCCGCTTAGCAGGATAAGGCTTTGTTGTTGTTGTTGTTGTTGTTGTAGAGGTGAAACAAAAGTATTCAGGAAAAATAATAGAAATGAGTAACACACACTGTTCCTCTTATTATTTTTGTTATGGCAACTTTACGAATTGCATGAATAAACATGCATAGCTACATGTTGACTTGTAAAAGACATATCGGAAATTTAGAGGAAAGAAGATCAGGGTTCCAATAGATTTTTCTGAAATTGTTTGATTTATAATAACATGAAATTTGATGCAAATGCCCAAAATATTAATTATAGGAAGTTGCAGCTGCTTTTGTGTCGTTCAAGTCTCGGCTTGGTGCTGCAGTAGCTTTACACATTCAACAAGGAGCAAATCCCACAGAATGGGTTACCGAGATGGCCCCGGAGCCCCAGGATGTTCACTGGCCCTTCTTTTCTGCATCTTTTATAAAAAGATGGATCTCCAAGCTGGTGGTAGTGGTTGCATATACTGCTCTTACAATTCTGTTCCTCATTCCAGTTGTAATTGTGCAAGGCCTTACTCATCTTGAGCAGTTGGAAACCTGGTTTCCGTTTCTGAAAAGCGTACTGGACCTGTAAGTGAGAATTTATCACTTTTACTAATTTACTGTTTTATTTACGATCTGCTGAATCGTACGATTTTCTTGACTTTCAGAACAGTTGTCAGTGAAGTCATAACAGGATATCTTCCAAGTCTTATTCTCCAATTGTTCCTTTCTTTTGTGCCACCCGTCATGATAATGTTGTCTTC